TTTTGGAGAATTGGCATTTACAGGTAATCTATGTTTAGTCAAACTGATTTGAGCTCCTGAATCTACTAAAAAATGTATGTTGCTGCCATTCAACACACTGTACATATGGCCTTCCACATTCATCCAATAAAACTGGAGCAACAAATTCTAACGGTAAGGAAGAAGAATCTTGATTTGATCCTGATTTTAATTTCGGCAATGGCAATAAACCATTCCTATTAATGACAACAGCGCTGTTTTCCATATGGTTTAAGCGGTTGTTGACTCTCAGTTAACTGATCTCCTTGACTTCTGAGGAATAAGGCAACTCAGACTATTGTTGGAACATGGAGGAGCAGATTGTTCAGAAATTATATTTTCATCTTCTAATTCCAATGTTTCTCTTTGTAAATCTAATTTATAATGAACACAATCTCTTTTCAAATGACCAAATTGTTTACAATAGAAACAAATGGTACTTCCTGTCTGCTCTGATACTCTTGTCCTGCCTGTGATGTGTTTCATCATCGCCATAATTGGGTGTGGTGAAGCACATGGTCTCTCTCTGTTCTCCATTTTGAACAATTACACGTTCCTTCTTCTGATTGTTTAATTTAAGTTGTCTAACTGTATCTATAACTCTTTGGCTGCTTGATCAAAATCATTTTTTCCAGTAGCAATAATAAAAGATACTGGATCTAGATACTTGAATTTTTTAACAAAAGCATTTACCATAGGAGTCTCATTGTCCAAATTAAATATCATTTTGTATACTTTGGAAAATCTATTTTTAAAATCAAAAGGATCATCATTAGAGATGAGCGAATCGAAATAGGCGAAGTGGAATTCGTTTCGAATATTGGAAAAATTTCGATTCGCGCCGAATCCGAAAATTATCATACTTCGGATGCGCGAATCGAAATTTTTCCTAAAATGGCGGCGACATGTGCGGCGACGGAGCGGGGATGTCTGGGAAGGCGCGCAGACAAGGCACGCTGACCCATAATGCATTCATTAATGACATGTGATCGCATTAGCCAATCAGCAGCCAGCCAGCACTGTGTAATGGTCGAGCTAAAAATGGCGGCCATTTTAGAATTCTCCATTTGCCTCCAGTCATTCAAGAGAGGCAGACCGCTCTGTATTAGGGACAGACTTAGGGACACAGAACCGTTACTCAGGGACACAGAACCGTTACTCAGGGACACAGAACCGTTACTCAGGGACACAGAAACGTTACTCAGGGACACAGAAACGTTACTCAGGGACACAGAAACGTTACTCAGGGCCACAGAATTGTTACTCAGGGACAGACACAGAATTGTTACTGAGGGCCACAGAATTGTTACTGAGGGCCACAGAATTGTTACTGAGGGCCACAGAATTGTTACTGAGGGCCACAGAACCGTTACTGAGGGCCACAGAACCGTTACTGAGGGCCACAGAACCGTTACTGAGGGCCACAGAATTGTTACTGAGGGCCACAGAATTGTTACTCAGGGACAGACACAGAATTGTTACTCAGGGACACAGAATCGTTGAATTAAAGAGTATGTCAGACAACATGCAGAGGAGTGGCAGAGGAGGCAATGTTTTAGGAGCGAGCAGACGTGGCAGCAGAGGAAGGGGTCGAGGCAGCACTAGTCGCAGCCAGAGACCAGTGCTCCCGGTGTCATCCAGCGGTCGTGTCTCCACCGACAACCCTGCCGTCATCGATTGGTTGGCTCGGTCGTCTTCCTCTTCCCAGGTCACCTCTGACACCTACAGCCAACGGTCGTAGGTGTACGTCAGACACAACCGTTAGTTGGCATGGCCCGGGAGCAAGCCCACTGAAATCACGTGTCCTCTACCTGCCCCTGTCCTTTGCTGTTCCCTCACCAAGCGAAGTATCGCATGCTGTGGGCTCAGCCCCACTGTACAGTGAGGAAGAGCTAACAGAGGGCGGTCAGGAACGGGGGGAGACATCCGTCTTTTCAGCAGCCAGGCGAAGAAGTACTGGCGAGGAGAGTGGCTCGGTAGCCGGTCTAGAGACAGGTCTGTCTCCTGACCCAGACGCAGCCGAGGGGGCTAGTAGTGAGCGGAGACCCTACTTGATGATGAGGAGGTTGATCGCACTTGGCAGCCTCGTCGTCATCAGGCAATTTCTTCCGCATCATCAGGAGAAGAGGGTGCCAGCTTGGCAGCGAGCGAAACAGTCGGTGGGTTGCCCAGGAGGCAGCAGGGTCGCAGCAGTGTCAGTGGAGCCAAACGGCCACGGAGCAGAGCACCAGCTCCACTGCAGCCTACCACCACGGCCAGTAGTGGTGCCGGTGCGCACGGAGGAAGTAGCAGTCAGCCAGTGAGGAGTAGCGGGGGCAAAGTTTCCTACTCGGTGGTGTGGCAATTTTTCGTCAAGCCGCCCGAGGAAGTAAACGTAGCCGTATGTCGACTATGTGGCCAGAAAGTCAAGCGTGGCCAGGGGGCCATGTTGGGACTACAGCGTTGCGTCAGCATATGCAGCGCGTCGCCATTTGGTGGCCTGTGAAAACCGTGATAAAGATACGGCGGTTCTGCCTGCCCCCAGCTCCATCACACCCGCTCCGTTACTTGCGCCGTCACCCGACGTCAATCGTCCTCTATCAGCCAGTCAAGGCTCCAACACCTCTGCTGAGGGGAGTTGTCGCTCGTTGGCATCTTCCGCTCGTTCAGATGCTCCTTCTCCTGCTACTCCTCTTCACGGATTCCGTCAGCAGTCTTTCTTGGAATCCAAGAGACAACAGTTTGCGAGCACGCACCCGACGGTGCAAAAGCTGAACGTCCTCCTGTCCAAGTTGCTGGTGCTGCAGTCCCTCCCTTTCCAAGTGGTGGACTCAGCACCTTTCCGAGAAATGATGGCTTGTGCCGCGCCGCGGTGGAGAGTGCCAAGCCGTCATTTCTTCGCCAAAAAGGCAGTGCCAGCCCTGCATTCACATGTAGAAGAGATGGTGGGCCAGTCTTTGAGCATGTTGGTCTCTGCCAAAGTGCACGGCAGCGCCGACGTGTGGAGCTGTAACTACGGTCAGGGACAGTACATGTCATTTACGGCCCACTGGGTAAACGTGGTGCCGGCACAGCCGCACCAGCAACTTGGACAGGTCACGACGCTTTTGCCTCCACGTTTGCACGTCCTTGGTCCAGCAAACATGTCCGCCTCTACCACCTCTTCTTCCGCCGTGTCCTCAGCCGCCACCCCCCCGTGCCAAGTCCCATTACCCGACCGGCATATCACATGTGCAGGGCGCAACGGTGTCACGCTGTGCTGCACCTGGTATGCCTTGGCGAACGTAGTCACACAGGGGAGGAACTTCTGAGTGTAATGAACAGAGAAATCGACAGATGGCTGTCTCCGCGCAAACTGAAAATCGGAACCATGTTGACTGACAACGGAAAGAACATGGTGTCTGCTCTGCGTCAAGGAAGGTTGTGCCATGCGCCATGCATGGCTCACGTGTTCAATCTGGTTGTCAAGCGGTTCCTAAAATCCACCATCCCACTGCAAGACATCCTTAAAATGTCACGTAAACTTTGCATGCATTTCAGCCATTTCCTACAGCGCAAAGCACACCCTCCTTGAGCTGCAGCGGCAGAACGGAATTCCACAGCATCGCCTGATCTGCAACGTTGCAACAAGGTGGAATTCAACCCTACACGTTAGACCGCCTTTACGAGCAGTGAAAGGCCATCACCGATTTCCTGATGTTACAAGCGGATAAAGGTACTCCCCTGTGTAACTTCGATGTCAGCCATTGGCAGCTCATGCGTGACACCTGCCGCTTGCTCAGGCCCTTTGAGGAGGCCACGCTATTCGTGAGTCGGCAGGACTATGGGATGAACGACGTCATTCCTCTATTGCACGTCCTGGAACAAATGCTGTTAACAATGGCTGGTCAGGGTGCGGTAGACGTGGCGCACAGATCTCAACGCCACATGACCCCTGTGGGGGCAGGACAGGAAGAAGAGGAGGAGGTAGAGGAGGACATTTGTGCTCAGGAATTATTGAGTGAAATGGGTGGTTTTTCCACTCAGCGGACAGGAGTGGAGGAGCAGGAGCATCTGGTAGAGGAGGAGGAGGAGGAGACAGAGGACCCAGACGCACCGTGGCAGTATGCTGTGGAGATGGAGGCAGGGAGTCCCTTGCATTCCTTGGCACAAATGGCCCATAGCATGCTCGGTTGCTTGCGTAGCGACAGCCGAATAATAACCATCAGACAGAGGGATGACTTTTGGCTGTCCACCTTGTTGGACCCTCGCTACCGTTCAAAAATGGTGGCCTTTTTCACACCTGCTGAGAGGGAGGCCAAAATTACGTACTATAAAAACCACCTATGTAGTCAGTTGGTCTCTGCCTTTCTGCGCCAACGTCCATCCTCAGACACTGTGGGCCCTGTGCGCTCGTGTTCCGCTGCCATGGCAGGAGGGGAGGGGGGGGGTGGTAGGAGCAGTGGCAGCTCCACCAGCAGCGGCTGCCTCAGTCTGCAGTCGATGATGAGTAGCTTTCTTCACCAGCGCAGTGAGGAAACTACTAACCAGCCGCAGCAGCAGCATCAGGTGGACCTGGAGCAGGAGCTCAAACAACAGGCTTGGGCCTACTTGGACAGCACCCTGCCAACCGAGGTAGACAATCCCCTTGACTACTGGGCAACGAAACTTGACCTTTGGCCCCAACTAGCTGAATTTGCCCTTGAAAGGCTGTCATGCCCGGCCAGTAGCGTGGCATCGGAGCGCGTGTTTAGTGCGGCAGGAGGTATTGTAACTCCGGAGGACACGACTGTCCACCCAAAGTGTGGAGAGACTCACGTTTGTGAAAATGAATCAGGCGTGGATTAGTCTGGATTTCAAACCACCAGTTCCTGACACAACTGACTAAATCCGCCATGAATCATGCCCCTGCCATGTGCCACTTTCAGGTCTCCTCACACTGCTGCTGGTGTGTTCAATTTTTTGACATAGGGTGCTGGCAGATTACGGGCCTCCCATAGCTGCTGCCAGGCCCCTAATCTGCCATGGGCCCCTATACCGCCTCCTCATGCTGCTGCCAGGTCCAGAGTCTCTCATGCCATGTGCCACTTTCAGGTCTCCTCACACTGCTGGTGTTCAATTTTTTGACATAGGGTGCTGGCAGATTACGGCCTCCCATAGCTGCTGCCAGGCCCCTAATCTGCCATGGGCCCCTGTACCGCCTCCTCCTCACGCTGCTGCAAGGTCCACAGTGTCTCATGGGTCCCTGTACCGCCTCCCATTGCTGCTGCCAGGCCCCTAATCTGCCATGGGCCCCCGTACCGCCTCCTCATGCTGCTGCCAGGTCCACAGTGTGTCATGCCATGTGCCACTTTCAGGTCTCCTCACACTGCTGCTGGGTTCCATTTTGTCATAGGATGCTGGCAGATTACGGGCCTCACATTGCTGCGGCCAGGCCCCTAATCTGCCATGGGCCCCTGTACCGCCTCCTCACGCTGCTGCCAGGTCCACAGTGTCTCATGGGTCCCTGTACCGCCTCCCATTGCTGCTGTTTCCATCACCACACTCTGCCATGTGCCACTTTCAGGTCTCCTCACACTCCTGCTGGTTTCCATTTTGTCATAGGTTGCTGGCAGATTACAGGCCTCCCATAGGTGCTGCCAGGCCCCAAATCTGCCATGGGCCCCCGTACCGCCTGGTCACGCTGCTGCTGGGTCCACAGTGTGACATGGGTCCCTGTACGGCCTCCCATTGCTCCCACTCTGCCATGTGCCACTTTCAGGTCTCCTCACACTCCTGCTGGTTTCCATTTTGTCATAGGTTGCTGGCAGATTACAGGCCTCCCATAGGTGCTGCCAGGCCCCAAATCTGCCATGGGCCCCCGGACCGCCTCGTCACACTGCTGCTGGGTCCACAGTGTGTCATGGGTCCCTGTACGGCCTCCCATTGCCACACTCTGCCATGTGCCACTTTCAGGTCTCCTCACACTCCTGCTGGTTTCCATTTTGTCATAGGTTGCTGGCAGATTACAGGCCTCCCATAGGTGCTGCCAGGCCCCAAATCTGCCATGGGCCCCCGGACCGCTTCGTCACGCTGCTGCTGGGTCCACAGTGTGTCATGGGTCCCTGTACCGCCTCCCATTGCTGCTGTTTCCATCACCACACTCTGCCATGTGCCACTTTCAGGTCTCCTCACACTCCTGCTGGTTTCCATTTTGTCATAGGTTGCTGGCAGATTACAGGCCTCCCATAGGTGCTGCCAGGCCCCAAATCTGCCATGGGCCCCCGTACCGCCTGGTCACGCTGCTGCTGGGTCCACAGTGTGACATGGGTCCCTGTACCGCCTCCCATTGCTCCCACTCTGCCATGTGCCACTTTCAGGTCTCCTCACACTCCTGCTGGTTTCCATTTTGTCATAGGGTGCTGTATGGCCTCCCATTGCTGCTGCCTCCACCGCCACACTGTGGCTCCAAACACTGGTTTTGGCCCCGTGACTGGCCAAATGAGTGAAGTGTGCGGTGATTCTAAGATCGACGGCACTCATCTGCATGTCATACTGACTGACAGTATTATTTCTCTTCCCCAGCAGACTCCAAGGGCATTTAAATTAAAGGTACAGTGTTCTGCACTAATATAAAGTCTCTCTGAAGCCTAGAAACACCCTTTTTTAAGTTAAATTCACAGCGAATATATTCGACTCGAATCGAATATTTTCCACGAATTCGCCGAATCAGTCGAATCGAATTTTTTGAATACTTCGCTCATCTCTAATCATCATTAATCATAGCTCTTAAGGAGTCTAAGATTTCCAGAGAAGGAGTTTCCTCTCCAGTAGTAAATATCAATAATTGACGCAGTCGGTCTGATGCATTGCTATGAATTTCCTCATCATCCTCAATATATGGTGTTTTGATTAATCTACGTGCCATAACACTGGGGAGCCATAAACAGAAGAGAAAATCTTTGCTCCTGATTTAAACAAAAATTATTACAAAAATTTTCATAAACCTCCATGTTATGAAAAGCATCAGCTTTCATATCATAGGCTGGCCTATCCTTCAAAATTTTCATGAACTGATCAAGGATTTTAAGATTAAGTTCTGGAGCTTTATCCCTTCATTTTCTCTTAAAAATGTCTTCCTGATTTGCAGGATCACCTTCTATAGACTGGATGTCTGGTACAAAAGATTTTTGTTTCTCTGCCTTAGTATTTACACAAATTCTTTTTACATCATTCTGCAGGTCAGATAACTGAATGTCTTTTGTTTGAATTGCACTTTGCAGGTCATCTATTTGCTCAGTCAAAGTCTGGCAATTATCACATATACGGTTATCTTGCATTACACAAGCAGCATTCTTAGGAACATCAAAAATCACAGTGTTAAAAACATTAACTAACTTCATTACATTTCTAACTTGTTTGCACAATTTCTTAAAGGAAAACCTAGATTTTTCTATCTTAATATTAGCCTGTAATCACTCATACATGTACCGCCAAAGTTCATCATCTTTAACAAATTTAGACAGATTCTTGAATTCTAATTTACTCTCTCTAGATAATTCATCAATAAAATCCATTACTTACCAATTAAGAAGGTCTTTCTTCACGTAACGCGTCTTTTCTCTTGGCGGGAAATTACATCACCAAGGAACAGCGTTTTCTTGCAATTGCGCAGAATTCTCACCAATTCTGATTTTAGGTTCTCGATTATGCCGAAGATTCATCTGTTGAAGACTTACTTCTCCTGAAAGCTTGACTTCATATTTTGCTGAACTTGCAAACATCTTCCCTCTCATCAAGGTGAAGGAGAAAAAAAGTAAAAAATGAGCAATATTCGGAAGCAAATCGAACTGGAGGCTCGCCACTGTAAAATACCGTATTATCTCGATATTTTGTTTACTTGTATTTGGTGAGAAAAGTTAAAATTAGAAAGTCCTTCCAACTCTTGCATAAACTCAAAAAGATGATTTAATAATAATGTTGCATAACATTAGAAATAAATATTGGAATACAGAATATTTAATGTCCAAAAATATAGTTATATTCTTGAGATAAAATTTGTATGTAATTGTGTGTGTATAATATGAATCTGTGTGTGTATAAGTAGGCTCCCTTAGCCTTGCTTCCAAACAAAAAGTGTGTTTAAAAAGTCTTTGTTCTCCTCTTAAAAGAGCAATCCAGCCCCCACCATCTCCTAAAAATGGGCTGATCTTCTCTTGTGTTCCTTGTAGTCCCACCAAGATAATTGGAAACAGATGTATATATATAACAAACTTCCAGTCTACTTCTCTCGGAGTCTGAGTGTAACTTTATCTCTTACATAGATGGGGGAGGAATAGTTACTACCACATGTCGCGTGAATGTAGAGAAAAAAAACAAGATATATGTTCATATGTATATTCACAGACTATGAAGTCTATTTACTTATGTCAAGGATTCGTTAAACGATCACCCTGTCACGTATCCACCACACGCCACGCCCACAGCGACTAGCTAACGGTGACGCACGCGTGCGGCTGCGACAGGGTGGTAAAGAGGGGATAATAAAGGGATTTACACTTAAATATCTCAAACCGTATATAAGATCAGCCGTGATACCTTTTCACAGCCCGCACTACCTCTGGCCACCACCAGATGGAGACTCCAATCCAGCTGGTCCACCACACACTGGCAGATACGATCTTACATACAACCTGGTGCCCTGATTAGAGTTGAGGACCAGCTTAGTAATCACACACCCTTCTAAAGGTCCGTTCAGCTATCCTAGCTTGAACCCCGGTGTTGATAACCCTTCCACTGTCCACACACCCCCACACCAGATGCACCACAAAGGTAGCCTGCCACCACCCAACAGTTTATCCGCAGAATGGTCTGTTGAGACACCCCACACACACAGATCTCCGTCTGGCAGATCTGTTACCTTTGCAGTCTGCGTGCAATCTGCCCACTCACAGTGCAGTTGCATACAGATTGGAAATGAGCTTAACCGAGCGTTTTAACGGCACTAAAATACAATATAACCCAATCTAATCTCTCCAATCTAGTCTCTCCGAAGATATGAGCACGTGCTTAAGTACACAGAAGTTCACTAATTAATTTTAAGATTTAATTTCCCAAAGTGGGCAGTGCATAAAATATGTACAAAAGATAAAAGGTTACAGCAAATACAAAGATATAAGAAGACACACAAATGACTAATTACTATAAAATAAAAGGGAATAAAAAGACAGAATAACACTTTACCCTGCGGTTGGAGCAAGCCAGAAACTTAGCAATCCATTGGTCAATCGAACCAGCTCCGTACGGATCACCCTGTCCAAATGTCCATGAGTTCAATTTATTGCGATTTGGACATGGGCGGGACATTAGTCTTCGGCCAATTGACTCTGGGGGAGGTGGTCCTGACCTGCCCACAAGAGGTACTGTGTATGGACCTGCCCAAGTTCAATTGGGCCAAGACTGGCCTGAACACCAAGTTGGGGATTAGATTTCTGACACCAGCGCGTCAGCCCGATCGCAACAGTACCAAACACCAATCAACTGTCGCGCCCCCGCGTCATCTAATCATTCCATGCATTTTCCCTGGCTTTCTCCCAAGCCCCAAATATGATTCTTATATGCAAATGTAGCGTACAGAATGGCCTGCACAAAGGAAGCATTTCCATCTCTCTACAACTAATATTTTCATCTTTTATAAGAGATTAAACATACCCCTTTGATGAATATTACTTATAGAGCTTTCCACGTAAGGCAGACAGTCTGTCTGCTGTCACTGGTTTTCACAGAAGGTGATAACCTGATTGACACACAAAAGTTGTCACCTCCAGGAACCTGACTTTAGACTAATTGATGCTAAATGATGATTGGGTCTGTAAGGCCTATTGAGTAATTGTGTATACATACACATCTGACCCCAGACCATTTGTTTGTACCATCTATTAATTTCCCTACTGCCCAGGGGCTCAATGTACATCCTTAATGACCAGACTGTTCCTGCACACACCTTTGTAATGAAAGGGCCTGACATAATCTAATCTACTCAACCTGTCATGGCTGATTCCATATTTCCACTCAAATCTTACATGTCCGTTACAATAAATTTTACATGTCCGTTACAACTTACTTTTCCCAATCTAGAACAAATAGAAATATAATAACTCAATTATTCTATTAAGATCCAACTCATTCATACATACATATGTTAGTACTGTTAATAAGAAGATATTAGGTTAAGGAAAGCTTCTAACACTACTTGTAGACTCTTTTCCTGTTACATTTTGCTCTATGTACAATCCTTGTTTTATTGATTGCATGTAATATTCTACTTTTCTGAGATTGTGGATTTGGGGTTTTCATGAGCTGTAAGCCATGATCATAACAATTATGACAAATCATGGCTTGAACTATCTTGCTTTGCATGTAATGAGTCTCTCATATATTAGTTTCACCTTTTAAGTTGCATTACTGAAATAAATGAACTCTTGCACGATATTCTAATTTTTCGAGTTTCACCTGTAATAGCGGATTGGAATTATTCTTCTTCTCCTTCTCCTTGCAGGTCACGGCCCATGCGCAGATTTTTTTATTGGTAAAACGATCGGCCGATTTGCCCATCATTGCCGGAAAAATCGGGCAATCGTCAAAATCGGCCACAAATTTTCCAACTTAACCGATAAAAAAAATGTGCCAAAACCCCAAAAAACGACCAACCAGTTAACCCACTAACTAACGGTGCGAAAATCGGACGACTTTTTTTCCGGCCGAAAAATCGGACGATTTTGGACCCATCTATGGCCTACATTAGATTGTAAGCTCCTTGACATTTGTGAATGCCCAAAATATGGAGATCAATTTCCAGGG